AAAAAAAAGAAAGAAAAGAAAGAGAAAGTGATCATTGTTCATTAAATGAAAGTAGATCATCATAAAGGTCTTCATCCTTGTTGCCTTCATGTTGAGTAGGTGGAGGAAAGGAAGGAAAGGTTGCGCTTGCTGTCTGTCTCAGGAGTGGAGTAGGAGGAAGAAAATCCGCATGTAAGTGACCTGCACAGTTCAAACTCCTGTTGTTCAAGGGTCAACTGCATTACAAATTCAGATTGGATTCTCAGCCCTCAAATCAGAATAACTCAGATTTCCTTGCCCTCTTTCACAGATGAAAGGAAAGAAACTTTGCCAAATGGTGTCTGTATTGGGGGAAAAATAATAAATGAAAGGTTATGTGTGTCACTGATTTAAACTATAGCATTTGCTGCTGATACAGTACATGCTGTGTATGTATCTATAAATACATACATATGAACACATTGCATGTATATAAAAATTCTTCACACTTCTATCAGTTCTTACCGGGTATTGGTAAAGGATTGAGTAGGCACTGTGATGAAAATTCACAAACCAGCTGGGAAAGATGCATTAATAGCCACAGGGGACAGGGTAAGGGAAAATGGAGAGGTTTAGTGAAAATTTGTCAGTCAGAAATTTTGGCATTTGAGACTTTTCATACTATGTGTGTATATAAGACAAACACTCCCATTTCATAGTAACAAGTGTTAGAACAGCCAGGTTCCTGGAGGCAGGCGGCAAAATTCACTACATACTACTACAGAACCATATCTGTGCTTCAAATTTCTCCACTTAAAAAAAATTGGCGCTACCAAAGGAAAAGGCAACAAGGGGTGGGAGAGAGCAGGTGTGAAAGAAAAGGCCTGGACTATAGCCAATTTAGGGAACAGGTTGTTAGACCAGGAACGGGGTGGGCAAGGGCAGAGGAGGATGTGCGCGGGCTTCCGGGCCTCCGAGACTTTACTACCGCCAGGTAAATCCCTGGCACACGGTTACTTCGTCGGACTCGCGAGGCCGAACCAACATGGCGGGCAGCCTCAAAGCGGCGCTCTCGTCACGTGCTAGGGCCGAAGAGCGCCAGGGGGCGAGAGGCGTGGCCTCGGCGGGCAGGCCCCGCCCTTAGGGGCGGACCCGGGGATCCGCGGAGGGGGCGGGGCTTCGCGGCTGGGTGCTTGGGCGGCAGAGGCTGCAGCCTGCTACCTCGGCGTTGGCTCGGCTCTCTAGGACGTGTCTGGCTGCCCCGGTCGGGGGCGGCTCCCCGCTGCCTCCGAGCTGAGCTGCCCAGCCTTCAGCGATTGCAGGCAGGTGAGCGCCCATAGCCTGGATCGAGGGGAAAAGATGCCTATTTTTCCCATCTCCAGCTCTCTTCAACAGTTTGGGGAGGGGTCTGTGTCTATCGCGCCTTAGGAACAACCCATTTTTACTCCAGATGTGTTGTCTCCAACTGGCGTCGATACTGCACCCTCTGCCGTCCCTCGCCAGCCTTTGCGGTGCCCTGTGCCCTTGGGAGTGAGAATGAGGGGCAGGGGCGATGCCTAATTTGCAGGGAGGGCGTGGAGTTCGCCCTCTGCTCCATCGGCTTCGGGGGAGAGGGCCGAGTTGGCGAGTCTCCCGGTGGGAACTGGCGAACTGCGCCCCCATGTCCCCTCCAGGAGAGTCTGAGAGAAGGCGCCTCTCGGCTCCTGGACCAGCACCACTCCTTTGAGCAAGCGCTTCTGAGGGGCTGAGGTCTTCGCGCTTCCCGAGGGTCTTAATCCTTTCTGCGTTCCTTATAGCACCCCTTTTTACTATCGTTAGCTCTCCATTCCTCGAGCTGCCGGCTTCAGTCTGTGCCAGAGATGCCACCATCTCCGCAGTGCCAGGGAGGTGGGGTGGAAGGAGCTAGCGGCCAACCCGAGGCCTGGTGGGGGTGGGGATGGGGGTGGGCGCAACAGGAAAAGAGGGCTGGAATAGAGATTCCTGAACTGGGAGGGTGGGAGTGAGGAGTTGATTTACGTCCACACAGGACGGCGTTTTCCAGTACGGATTTTGAGGTTGTAATGGTAAGTGAGAAGAGAGAGGTCGGGTTGGAGGACTTGGAAACCTGGTGTGGCTGGTTTTCTTTGAGGAGGAGGGATCCAGAAGAAGGTGCCACTAGAAGCTGATGTCACCTTTGAGGAGAGGTGTGCTGGTGGTTTCCATCAGAGGAGTAGGACAGTTGGGGCCGTTCTGCTCTTCTTTCTATGTGAACAGCAAGGAGTTAAGGAGGCT